GCGTCGGCTTCGGCCTCCCACACCTTTACCCTTGACTCGGGGGCTTCTCGCTCCTTCTTTCGAGACCGCACCACACTCACGCCGCTTGACCGGCCAGTTGCGGTCTCTCTGGCAGACCCCTCTGGGGGTCCTGTCCTTGCTCACTTCTCCACTGTCCTCCCGTGTCCGGCGGCCCCCTCTGGCACCCTGTCTGGTCTTTACCTCCCCTCGTTCTCTACGAACTTGGTGAGTGGTGCTGACCTACAGGATGCGGGGGTTCACCAGTTCACTCCTGCGAGTCAGCGGGTGACCCACTGCACGGACGCTCGGACAGGCCGACACCTGGCCACGTTTACACGTCGGCCGGGGTCGAGCCTGTACACACTGACCACTGCGTCTCCTCCGGTCCTTGCGTCTGGTCAGGTAGCTGCGTCGGGTCAGGTGTTTGCTGCAGCGTCCAGGTCTGGTCCTGAGTCTGCCCCCTGCTCGTGTCGCCTCCTGTCTCACGAGACTCTCCTCTGGCACCACCGCCTTGGTCACCCCTCCCTGCTTCGTCTCCGGAGCATGGCCTCCCGTGTCCTTGTCTCTGGTCTTCCCCGGTCCCTCCCTCCCCTTCCTCCGGGGCCTGGCCCTACCTGCGTCCCCTGTGTCGAGGGACGACAGCGGGCTACCCCTCACTCCTCCCAGTTTCCTCCGACAGAGGCCCCGCTGCAGACGCTTCACATGGACGTGTGGGGCCCGGCCCGCGTCCGTGGACAGGGTCACGAGCGCTACTTCCTGCTGGTGGTTGACGACTACTCGCGTTACACCACAGTCTTCCCCTTGCGCAGCAAGGGTGATGTGACTGAGGTGTTGATCGACTGGATCCGCGCAGCTCGTCTCCAGCTGAGGCGGAGCTTCGGCTCGGACTTTCCTGTTCTGCGTCTGCACTCTGACAGAGGCGGAGAGTTCTCCTCTGGCCTTCTGCGAGCCTACTGTCGTGCACGAGGCATCCTCCAGACCTTCACGCTTCCGGACTCTCCACAGCAAAATGGGATTGCTGAGCGCCGCATTGGCATGGTCATGGACGTCGCCCGTACGTCCATGATGCATGCGGCTGCCCCCCATTTTCTGTGGCCGTTTGCGGTTCGGTACGCGGCGCATCAGATCAACCTTCAGCCCAGGGTCTCCATGCCGGAGACCTCCCCAGCCTTGCTGTGGACGGGGAAGGTTGGCGATGCGTCTGCGTTCCGTGTCTGGGGATCTCGGGCGTTTGTCCGCGACTTGTCTGCGGACAAGCTGTCCCCTCGTGCTGCTCCTTGCGTCTTCCTGGGTTTCCCCCCTGACGCCCCAGGGTGGCAGTTCTACCACCCCACCTCTCGCCGTGTTCTGTCCTCCCAGGACGTCACGTTCGACGAGTCGGTCCCCTACTACCGCCTCTTCCCCTACCGCACTCCGTCCCTCCCCCCGCCACCGCTCTTCCTGGTACCAGGTCCCCCCCCGGTAGACCCCCTCCCCCCTCAGGGTCCTGCCCCTTCAGGTGTGTCCCAGGTAGACGCTGTTGAGCCTGTCGAGGTCGCTGGTGACTCTGGTGCTGCTGAGGGTGCTGAGCCTGGGAGTGCTGACTCTTGGGGTGCTGAGCGTGTGGGTGCTACGCCTGGGGGTGCTGAGCCTGAGGGTACTACGACTGGGGGTGCTGAGCCTGGGGGTGCTGAGTCTAGGGGTGCTACGCCTGGGGGTGCTGCGTCTGGGGGTGCTGAGCCTGGGGGTGCTACGCCTGGAGGTGCTGAGCCTGGGGGTGCGGAGCCTGAGGGAGCTGGGCCTGCTGGTGCTGTGCCTGGCGGTTCTCCGGGTGCTTCTTCTCGCCGGGAGCCACTCTCTCCACAGGAGCTGCGTGAGTGGTTTGCCCGGCGCTGGAGGCGAGCTGCTGGAGCTGGAGGAGCTGAGGGTACTGGAGTTTCTGTTGCTGCTGAGGGAGCTGGTGCCACGGGTCCCGGAGGTGCTCGTACTGGGCGTACTGGAGCTGCTGGACCTGCGGGTACTTCTGGAGCTGGAGCTGCTGCGGGTGTTGGCGCGGAGGCTACTGCTGTCGGTCCTGGAGGCGGTCCTGCTGGGGGTACTGCTGGTGCTACTGGGGGTACTGGAGCTGGAGCTGCTACTGGTGCTGGTGCTGCCACAGGGGGTGCTGGTGCTGTCTCTACTGTGTCTGGAGTCGCCGCGCGGCCTCGGCCGTACTTCGTTCCGCTCCTTCAGCAGGTTCTTGGTCTCCCGTCTTCTACTGGTCCTCCTCCTCCCTTAGAGTGTCCACAGCCTGTCCCGTCGCAGTTACAGTTACAGCCGGCCTCCCCACTGCCTGCTCCGTCTCCCTACACTGGTCCTACTGGAGGTCTTGCTGAGCGTCGTGAGCCTGCGTCTCGCCCTGCGTCGCCTGTCCGTGCTGCTCGCACTAGTGGTCGTGGTTCGCGTCAGCGTCCTCCTCCTGTCCCTGGCACGCACCGGATGTCTCTGCGTCCGTCCACTGCTCCTCTGCGTGCCCCTTTGCCTTCTCCTCCTGAGTCTTCTCTTCCTGCTCTTGCCGACCCGGAGTCGGACTCTCTTCGTGCTGCCAGTCCTACTGTCACGCGTCTCCTTGCTACTGTTGTCACTGACCCTTCCTTTGAGTCCACTGCTGCGTCTGCCCTAGTTGCTGAGCTCGTCGACTTTGCTGCTCGCTGTCGCCTAGACTACGTCGCCAGTCTTGTTGCTGAGTCTGAGTCTGTCTGTCCTCCGTCCGTCGGGGGTGAGTGTGCCCTTGGCACGGACGTCCTTGAGGACAGGCAGGAGGAGTTCCAGTGCTTGGCCGCTGCTTCACCTCATCTCGTGTCCGTACTGCTTACCCCTGAGGGAGACCCGGATGCACTTGACATCCCGACTCCGCGCTCTTACGCGGAGGCGATAGAGGGTCCCTACTCCTCTCAGTGGCAGGCAGCTATGGACGCAGAGATGGCTTCCTGGAAGTCCACAGGCACCTACGTTGACGCTGTTCCCCCTCCTGGGGCGAACATCGTCAGTGGCATGTGGATTTTCAGGGTGAAGCGGCCGCCGGGTTCTCCGCCTGTCTTCAAGGCGCGTTACGTGGCTCGAGGCTTCAGTCAGCGGCAGGGAGTTGACTACTTTCAGACCTTCTCTCCCACCCCGAAGATGACCACTCTTCGGGTACTGCTGCACGTAGCTGCTCACCGTGACTACGAGCTACACTCTCTTGACTTCAGCACTGCTTTCTTGCAGGGCAGCCTGCACGAGGAGATCTGGCTGCGTCGCCCACCTGGTTTCACTGGGTCTTTTCCTCCTGGCACCCAGTGGAGCCTACGGCGGCCAGTCTACGGTCTCCGCCAGGCACCGCGTGAGTGGCACGACACACTGAGAACTACACTTGCGGCTCTTGGGTTTGCTCCCTCTACTGCCGACCCGTCGCTGTTTCTGCGCACCGACACTTCTTTGCCGCCGTTCTACATCCTCGTGTACGTCGACGACTTGGTCTTTGCCACAGCTGACACTACTGGACTCGCCCACGTGAAGTCCGAGCTGCAGAAGAGACACACGTGCACTGACCTGGGTGAACTGCGCAGCTACCTTGGCTTGCAGATCACTCGGGACAGAGCACGCCGCACCATTACCCTGACTCAGTCACACATGGTGCAGCAGGTCCTTCAGCGCTTCGGCTTCACGTACTCCTCGCCTCAGGCCACTCCTCTGCCTACTCGCCACTCGCTCTCAGCTCTGCCTTCGGATGAGTCCGTAGAGTCGAGTGGCCCGTACCCAGAGCTTGTTGGCTGCCTCATGTACCTGATGACCTGCACACGACCTGACCTTGCATACCCTCTTAGCATTCTCGCACGCTATGTTGCTCCTGGGAGACACAGACCGGAGCACATGGCTGCAGCGAAGAGGGTGTTGCGCTACTTGTGCAGTACATCGGGCATGGGGCTTGTGCTTGGAGGGCAGAGTCCAGTGGTCCTTACTGGGCACGCAGACGCTTCTTGGGCTGACGACCAGGCTACGCAGCGGTCGTCACAGGGTTACACCTTCAGCCTTGGTTCCGGCTCTGTTTCGTGGCGGGCTACTCGCTCGTCTTCTGTTCTCGGCTCCAGTTGTGAGGCTGAGATCTACGCAGGAGCCATGGCTGCACAGGAGCTTCGCTGGCTCACCTACCTGCTGACTGACCTCGGAGAGCCGCCTCGTTCTTCTCCAGTGCTGTACGTAGACAACAAGGCCATGCTGGCCTTGTGTCGGGAGCAGCGACTGGAGCACAGAACGAAGCACATTGCTCTCCGCTACTTTCTTGCTCGTGAGCTGCAGCAGCGTGGTCAGCTGCGTCTTGCGTACGTGGCCTCTGAGGCCAACACTGCTGATATCTTCACCAAGGCGCTTGCGCCTTGTGACCATCAGCGCTTCTGTACTCAGCTGGGCCTTGTGCCTACCTTGCCTCACTTGCTCACCTCTTGACCGTGGTTGTACTGTTACATATATATATACCTGCTCTTGCTTGTCTAGCCTTTTTACATATATGTACTCCTGCATGTGAACTGGCCTTGTGGCCTTGAACTTGTGCTCGGAATGTGTGGTGACTTTGTGATCCACCCTGAGCTTGCTTTGCTTTGCTTTACTTGACTGGTCTTGTGACCCCTTGTTCTCCCCCACTTTGCCTATGGGGGTGTGTCAGAACATTATAGCTCATGCATACTGTGTAGGCTATAGTGGGGTAGCCCATAAGGGGTACAACCCAATTAGGGTTATTACTTGTACCAAATTCATTCATAGTTCATTCATTCCTTGTTTCTTCTCATGATTCTTCTATTAATGTTATAATTTTTTTTCCTTGCAAAGCAACATGAAATGAGGGTGAGAGGCTAAAACAAGCACTTGAATCTCTACACTATACAATGTTATCTTCTGGTCAGCAACTGATGCACAAGCATAGTTCCGAAGCTAACAAGCAGGGTATCACTACTACTGCTGCTCTGATGTCACATTGTAGCAGCCATGTCAACATGATACGGACATTATGGCAAGCACTTGATTCTCTGACAATTACCACAAAAGTATGTAATGGAGTGCCAATACAGGGGAAGAGAAAGGCGAGAGGAAGGTGAGCTAATTGTATAAGCAAGGTGAGAGAAAGGTTGAGAAGATGGAGATAGGAATGAGAGAAGAGATGCAAGCCGAGAAAGGAGAGGCAAGCAGAGAGAGAGAGGGGAGAGGCAAGCGGAGAGTGAGTGAGAGAGACGCATATATTATACAACCACAATGCTTCCACACCACAATCACTAAGCTGCGAGCACAGTATAATCGATCTGGACCCACTATGCATCATAGTGACACAAACCACATCACATCGCACTGATGATGCACCCACAAGCAGAATACGCATGGTTCCAACGAATCACGGTGCGTTGCAGCTCATCATTCCAATTTAACAGCCCCTCCAGAATACACTCACAGTGCATTGCAGCTCATCATCCATCTGCACGACCTTCCAAGATACACCCACAATGTGTGCTTAGCTCTACCTAACCCTCTTCACAACCCTCGGAGATGCACTCACAGTGCGTTGCAGCTCATCATCCATCTGCACCAGCTACGTCATAAAAGAGATGTTCTGAGACATCTCAAAGCATCGCTTGATCAGCGGAGCACGCATGACCTCGAGGTGAACGACTCACAGTGCGTTGCAGCTCATCATCCATCTGCACCAGCTTCCGCCTGAGAAGCTCGCGGTCCTCATGGCAGATGGGGTCCGGTACAGCCCCCGGCAGATCTGCACACACCACCACACCCAGATGTATCGATACACATAGTTTTGAGTCGACTCAAAACTATCCTCGTGGCAGATGGGGTCCGGTACAGCCCCCGGCAGATCTGTACACACCGCCACACCACACCCGCACATATCGATACACATGTAACGTACTTGTCCTTTCTCGTCTCTTTCTTTTCACGCCACCCAGCGGACAGGCTGGTTGACACATGCATAGGTGAAGCAAAGGCATGCGCGCATGAGAGGACACAATCGGGCATGAGGATTGGTTGTGGATGGGTGAGTGGATGGGTGGGTGGGTGGGTGGGTGGGTGGGTGGGTGGGTGGGTGGGTGGGCGGATGGATGGATGGATGGATGGATGGACGGACGGGAGGACGGACCGACGGACCGATGGACGGACGGACGGACGGACGGACGGATGGACGGATGGATGAATGGATGGACCACTTACCATACACATAGGTTGCTAGAATGGATATACGATTCAATGGCTGCGGAAAAGTGCAACGCACATACAAGAGGCGTGGCATGCAAACACACATGCACAGATGGGACATATGCATGCACACACACATGCAGACAGACAGGCACCCACGTGCAGCAGACATGAGGCATATGTTGCATGAGAAATGTGCAGGCGAACTCAGACACACACATGCACACACACATGCGCGCGTGCACACACACACACATGCACACACACATGCGCGCGCGCGTGCGCTCTCACACACACACACACACACACACAAAAGACCACAAAAAAGGAGGAAAGGAGGAAGAAAGCCAGGGGAGCATGTCAAAACTCACGAGACGAGCAACTGGATAAAAGAATGCAGGAAGGGCACACAGGAATGCAAATCGCAATATGCCAATGCAATCAGCCCGGACACCCCCCCCCCCCCAGTTGGCCAAGCCGTGTCAAACCCCCCCCACTGTCTGCGCATAGATTGGCCAATTCAAGCAAATAACTTCTAAGAATCATCGAGATTAGCTGTTCAGCCAGAGTCGCTATCTCTCCATGTGCAAGTGGCAACAGCAACCATGCTCTCACAGCTCCAAGATCCCTTCTCACACACATCTCTTCAGTACACCTCCATATAAAAACTCCCGAACGGTACTGACGTAGGGACCCTGCCAACCTACCAACCTACCAACGTACCAACCTACCAACGTACCAACCTACAAGCCCACCCACCCAACCACACGGAAAATGCCTCTCACCAGCTAACTGGTATTTAGCCCCCACCCCACCTGGCCATCCCTCATCCCCCTAATCCCGCCCCTGCCACTCCCCTTCCCTATCCCCCCACTCCGCTGCTGACCAAGTCAAAGATACCCTCTGCCCGGGTGGGTGAATAGTACCTCAGAAACTAGTCCCCTTCCCCCTCCCTCCTTCCCACTGTGCGCTGACAATGAAAAAGGCACCCTCGGTTTGGGTGGAAAATTGACTCTTTATCTGGTGCGCTTCGAACAGTGACCCCTTTCCCTACCCTCCTCGCCCTCTCCCACTCTCCTCCCCCCTCTGCGCTGCTGGCCACGATAGAGACGCCCTCTGTCTGTCCTGTTGAATTGAATCCATTGTTTCTTTGGTTTGCCACGCCTGGAGACTCTGCCTCCTCTCCTCCCCCCTCTCTCTGCACTGCTGGCCATGATAGAGAATTCTCAAAGAATCCCTCCTGACTGACCATGACAAAGATGCCCTCATAAGTCCGTCCGTCACTCCCGTCCTTCCCCCTCGAACCCCCATCCCCTAACCCCCCTCGCCTCCCCACTCTGCGCTGCGCTCACTGACCATGACAAAGACGCCCTCTGTCCGCGTGGGTAGGTAGGGGGTTTCCATGCGCTCCAGCACGATCATTGAGTCCTCTCAAAATCCGTCACTCCCGCGACCCCCCACCCCCCCTACCTCCCCCCTCCCGTCCCTGCATGGACCATGACGAAGATGCCCTCTGTCCGCGTGGGTAGGGCTTCCATGCGCGCCAGCGTGGGTTTTTAGACGTCTCAAAAACCCGTCACTCCCGTCCTCCCCCCCCCCTTAACCCCCCACGCCCTCCCCACTCTGCGCTGCGCTGACTGACCATGACAAAGATCCCCTCTGTCCGCGTGGGTAGCGCTTCCATGCGCTCCAACACGTGAGACGTCTCAAAAACCTGTCACTCCCTCCCCTTTCCCTCCCGCCTCCCCTTCCCCCTCCCCCACCCTGCACGGACCATGACAAAGATGCCCTCTGTCCGCGTGGGTAGCGCCTCCATGCGCGCCAGCACCTCATCCCCCGCCGTTACCCGCCCAAACACCGCGTACTGCGCTCCACCACAGGCATGGGGGGTATGGGAGGGAAGGGGGGGGATTTTAAGACATTCTAAAATATCATCCGCGCCAGCACCTCATCTTCCCCCTTTACCCGCCCAAACATGGCGTACCGTGCACCAGAGGCATGGGGGAGATGGGAAGGCGGGGGTTGGATGGGGGAGAGTGGATGAGGGCGCAGGAGAGCAGGGAAGCAGGTAGCAGAGGAGCAGGGGAGCAGAGGAGCATGGGAGAGCATAGGAGAGCACAAAAATGCATGAGAGAGCATGGGAGAGCATGAGAGAGCATGGGAGAGCATAAGAGAGCATGGGAGAGCATGGGAGATCATGAAAGAGCATGGGAGATCATGGGAGAGCATGGGAGATCATGGGAGAGCATGGGAGAGCATGGGAGATCAGGGCATCATCCACCCACCTTGCCGTCTAGATGCGGGGCATCCCCAAGGAGCATGGAGAAGGAGGAGGTGCCGCTGTTGGGGTCATCATACCTGATTAAGGACAGGGATGCATGCATGGGGAATGAATCAGGCACGGGAGACACGCAAGGGAGAAACGCAAAGGGCGTGGGACAAGGAGAAACACAACAAGGACGTGGTACAACGAGTGAGGGTTGTTTTTGTGAGAGAGAGAGAGAGAGAGAGAGAGAGAGAGAGAGAGAGAGAGAGAGAGAGAGAGAGAGAGAGTATTCTGAAAAAATGGCATGGAGGAGGAGGAGGAGGAGGAGGAGGAGGAGAGGCACTCGCAGAGGCAGCAGACGGACAAAGTGCAAACCGCAGGCACCCAAAAGCATCATGACTCTGTCTGCCTGTGTCCTGACACCTCAACACCCAAAAGCACCCAACACCGACCCACCCACCCACCTTCCTCTGACTCATCACGCATCACTCATCAGGCATCACTCATCAGGCATCACTCATCAGGCATCACTCATCAGTCATCACTCATCAGGCATCACTCATCAGGCATCACTCATCAGGCATCACTCATCAGGCATCACTCATCAGTCATCACTCATCAGGCATCACTCATCAGTCATCACTCATCAGGCATCACTCATCAGGCATCACTCATCAGTCATCACTCATCAGTCATCACTCATCAGGCATCACTCATCAGTCATCACTCATCAGTCATCACTCATCAGGCATCACTCATCAGGCATCACTCATCAGTCATCACTCATCAGTCGTCACCATGACATGAAGAGCGTTTTCCAACCCCTTCTCCTTCTACTTCTCCTTCTCCTTGGCCATCACGACTGCGCCCATGGTGATAACAACCCCTTTTCTTCCTCACAGCGCCATGCCATGCGATTCGTCTCCCCTATCTCTTTCCCCTTTCCCCTGTCTCCCCCCCGTTCCCACCGCTTCCGCCCCTCCTCACCGCGCCATGGAGAGCGTTCCCCGCCTGTGGGGCAGCGCGGAGAACTCCCCGGGGACAGTCTGCTCCGCTTCCCACCGCTGCTGCGCGCTCAAGGGGACCTGCCGCCCGCCCACCACGTCCGCCACCTGCGCCACGAAGCCCTTGTCCACCTGCGCATGCGGGGAAGGGCGGGGGAAGGGCGGGCCCGGAGAGGGGTTGGGGGAAGGGGAAGGGGAGAAAACGAGAGTACTGTACCGTGTACTACAAGCGATCATTACTGCACCTGAATAAGCACAATAAGTAGCGGTAAGCACAATAACAGTAAGTATGGCATTAAGAAAAATGCAATTAGTGTACCCGGAAAAAGTGGTTTGTCGCATAGCAGCCAAGATGCGCGAGGCGAGAGATGTGTGCTACAGTGCGCGGCGCCACTTGCGGATAGAATCCAAACTCGATGTCACCAAAGTCCGTCTGACTTGTCGAGTGGCGATTGGAGGAGAGCATCCGCGCGTGCAGGCGGCGAACAGGTCAAAGAAATAAGAGAGGGGGAGGGGACAGACGTGGAGAAACGGAGCGAGAGTGAGACGGGAGGGATGCGTTGGGATACGAGACTAGGAGAGATGCCGACGCGAGTATCGACGGACGGAAATGGAGGGGGATGACCTGTGGCAGATCTCCGCGTGAGACCACCAACTTGCGGTGTCAGGACAGGAGCACAGATTCCCCCTCGTCGACAACATTCGCCATCAGTGAAGATGCGAATGCGATGATGCGAATGCGATGATGCGAATGCGATGATGCGAATGCGATGATGCAAATGCGATTATGCGAATGCGAATTACTGAAGGGAAGCGGATTTGGGATTTTGCCGCGCCTCAGCCCTAGATTTACGAGCGGTAAATGCGCTGGATGGAAACGTCCGCGAAAGTGGCAAACTCTATGGCAAAGAGGGAAAACGGAGCCATGAGGAGAAGAGGGGTGCCGCGAGCAAGGCAGGGAGGAGATCTGGAAGAATGGCTCCGGAAGAAAAAAGGTATGCGCGATACGCAAGCGAGCGAGAAATCACGAGGATGCTTCCATGTAACGTTACAGGTGTCGTCACAATGCGGACGCCGTGCCGAATAAAGGAGAACGGTAACGGTAACGGTAACGGACCTGAAAGACGACTCGTTCGGTACCCAGCTGGGGCTCGATCTGGGGTTGGGTGTAGAATGCGTGAGCAGCGCGAGAAGAGAGAAAAACAGAGATTGTCACGAGCAGGCACTTCTCCAGAATCCCGATATGACGAATCATTTTGTTATCGGGTTCCTCGATTCTGCTGCGACGACGCGGCTAAAGCTCGGTGTTATTAGCGGGACGCGGACGAGAGGTTGACGAGACGAACCCGACTACGTCGCCGGCAGAATTGAGCGGAGCTCTACACCAAAGTTGTGGTGATCAGGCTGAACAGGACGGCATGGTAGTGAGCATGAATGGAGTGAGCTGAACTAGTTGCTGTCAATTAGGTGTGAATGACCGACCATTGGTGTTCCTCGACTTCGGTTGGCACAGCACGGTGGGAGAATGAACAGGCAGATGGCGAGGGAAAGTTTTTTGAAGTCATGAAGGTTCAGCCTTTAACCTCATGGTATACATCGTTTTCCGGGGTAATCTTCTTGTGCAGTCTGGCTGGCAGGAGGGCGGTCTGGTATACCAAAGGTTGGGAAAACAAATTTACAGCTTGAAGAGTGCAAACTGTTGCTCTCACCAGAATCCAATTCTCACGACCTCGGGTGACCGATGGTGGAGGTGGGTTTGCAGCTTTGCACACCTGCCTCTCAGCAAGGCACCTCTCGAGCGCTACTCTCGACTTGACTTTGGGTTCAGCACCAGTTCTCATCAATTTCAGATGTCTAAAGTTGCATCCAAACCATGTTCCAGGGGCGTGCTCTGGGTTGCACTTCAACAAGTGACGAGTTTCAACACACTGGACACGCCTCCTGTGAAATCGATTGGGATACGACTCGAGATTGTTTTGTTTTAGCCCTGGAAACCGGAAACAGGCCCCTGTTCTCAAACCTCGACAGCACGGAATATCGATGGGTTGTAGGTTACCACGTGTTACCAATATATATTTTGCGAAACTATTCCGCACCTCGCAAGCAACGGGCACAACTGCATTTACATCCCCATCCCACCACCTGTCCTGCCTCCTTTTTTCCTCCTCGGTTTGTCTCCTCCCCAACATTTCTTCCTGCTCCTCTTAGTCTTATCTCTTGAACATCACTGCGCAACAGAATTATATTATCCCATCACAACATGGCGTCAACCAGCGCGATGCCGATCGCACAGCTTCTGGCGGCCAATCCGTACAACCCGGAGATTTTGCCGGACCTTGAGAAGCACGTGGATGATCAGGTGGGTCGCGAAGGTTGTCCGCGCTCTTCGGCGATGCCGAAGAAATAGGGTTTTACTTGTCGCGCGGGAATTCGACGTGTGTTTGCTGAAATCGCAATCCGATGTGGCACGACGGCTGGAAATCGCCCAGTTTGGACAATATATATGTGAACTAGTTCTCATCTGCTAAGGTCTAGGTCGAGCTGTTTGATAATCATTCGCGAACCAGTCACGAACCATCTGGTCCGATCGCTAACACGAGCGATCGGCGTGCGCGGCAACCTGTTGTTTCGCAAACTTTATGGGCTCGCGGCAGGAAGCATGTTGATCCGTAAGGCGATCCAAATGACCAGTTCTGAGCGGCTGGCGAGAAACTCGCGGTGCTGGATACGGTGGTATAGACGTGGGGAAGATTGCGGTCGGAACGTTAGTAGATTAGAATGTTGAGAAAGGAAGGTAGGCGATTTTTTTCGACGTCTTTGAAGTTAGGGAGGTTTTAGGAAGCAAGTGAGGTGAGGACGCCAGCCGTAGCGGGTGAAATGCAGTGGCGGGAGAGGCGAAGGAGAAGGCGAAGGATGGTAGGGAATTGCAAGGCACGAAGCAGAGCGTTTCAGAGTGACAGATCAACAAGGCTACAGAGTGACAGAGCGTACAATTGCGGCGTTGGAGCGCTTTGGGCTCCACGGTAAACCGCAAGGCAGCAAGACGGCATACCGGCAGTGAGGCAGTACGGTAGCTCGGCTCGTCACCCGCTTGCGTTGTAGCTACAGCTTGCTTTCAGTTCCCTGCTCGCGTCACATGCACCTCCCGCGTGAGACGACATGTGAGAACGACGCGTGAGACTCGTGGGCGAAGCCTGCAGCCACGGCATCCTTCCCTGTTCCCTCCTCGCACGCCTCCCCGCGCACCTCCCCGCGCACCTCCCCGCGCACCTCTCCGCGCACCTCCCCGCGCCCCTCCTTCTGCTACGCTCGAGACGACTCATGAGCGGACTAGTCTTGCCTTCGCCGCACTCCCGATTGGGGGGCGTGGGGAGCGACGTGAGAGGATGTGTGAGAGTCCACGCACGTCTCTGCTGCCCCCGCACGTCTGTCCCCTCCCTTCCCACACGCTCCTTTTCCCGGCTGACTGAGGGGCTCAGTCCTGGCTCCTGTCTTTGCCGTGTGTGAATTCATTCAATTTTCCTGTGTGATGGCTTGTTGCCTTATCGCAGATCGCCAATGGGACGTACGACTTGGATGCCAACCTCACACTGCTGCGCCTTTACATGGTAACCCCACCCTCTCCTCCCTCCCCTTCTCCTCTGCTGCTCTCGCCTTGCCTTTCCCGGCTCCTTGCCCCACTCCCGTCTCTTCCCATCGTGGTCTTTCCAAAACACTTTCCTCCCATCTCTTTCTCCCTCTCTGCATGCCTGCGTGCGTGTGTGCGTGCGTGTGTGCGTGCGTGCGTGCTTGCGTGCGTGCGTGTGTTTGTGCGTCTGTGCGTGCGTGCCTGCCTGCCTGCCTGCCTGCCTGCCTGCCTGCCTGCCTGCCTGCCTGCCTGCCTGTGCGTGACTGAGAGCAGTTTGAGCCTGCGCGAGTGAACGTGCGCAAGATCAGCGGGGTTCTCATCAAGGTACGTCACGCCTCGGCTGCGCGCACGCCTCGGCTGCACGCACGCCTCGGCTGCGCGCACGCCTCGGCTGCGCGCACGCCTCGGCTGCAAGCACGCCTCTGCCGCACGCACTTGACCAGCTTTGTAAAGCCTCAATTCCCCTCTCTTCCCCCTCCTCCGGCCCCGCCATTGTCGCCAGGCTATGATGGCTCTGCCTCGCACGGACGTCACTCTCTGCCTCTGCCTCATTCCCGAGAGATATGTCAGTGCCTCCCTCCCTCTCCACTGCAATGCCCTGCCATGCCATGCCATTCATGTTGTGCCAAGTTTTGTGACCGCCCAAAACTCTTTCTGAATGACTGGTCAACGCCTTCTTGGCCCATGCCATGCCATGCCATGCCATCCCATGCGACCATGCCATGCCATGTTGTGTCTTCCCATGCCATGCCATGTTATGCCTTCCCATCCCATGCTATATCTTTGCTCGCTTTTACTCCTATCCCTGCTCCTGCGTCTACGCTCACAACAACCATTCCCTTTCACCGCCCTTTCTCTCTGTGCGGTTCTGAGCAGCAAATCGAGGAGCCTCTTTCCACCCTCATCGCTCTCTCGCAATTCCTTGAGGTGCGCTGTGCGTTGTGTTCTGTGTGCTTTCTGCTTTCTGCTTTGTCCTCTCTGCCTCCTTACTGCCCGTCGTGTCAAGTCAAGTGTCACTCTCTTTCCCTGCTACTTCCCCTCCCCTTCCTCCTCCAACCCCCCTCCGCCCTCCCCTTTTCCCCGTGCCTCGGCGCCCCCTTTCCTGCTGCTTGGTTTGCCAATATCACCTTTCAAGCAAGTGAATGTTGCTCCATGCTTTACAGATTCCGGCTGTACTCAACTCACCCTTGTCACGTCGCTCCCACTCCTCACTTCCCCCCCCCCCCCCCCGCTCCCTTTGTTCCGACTCGCTGTATCCTTTTTTTTTCCTTCCTTTCAACATTCTCCCCGTATCATCCAACCCCTCGTTTGCGTCCCTCCTCCCCCTTCCCGCCCGCCCGCCCGCCCGCCCGCCTGCCCGCTTGGCCGCCAGACGGCCCGGTTCCGCGAGTTCTGGTCAGAAGTGGAGCAGCAACGGGACCTGCTGGGGGCGGTGCCTGGTGAGTGGGGTGCGGTGCGGTTGTGGGTGGTGGTGATGGTAGTGGTATCACACAGCAAAGTTATCCGGGCTATGCATGCAGGGTTTTGGATTGGGGATTCCATTCGAGCGATGCAGTGTGGTGGTTGTGGTTGAGTGGATGGAGGATGCAGGTGCAGGCTGCCCTGCCGTGCCTGTGAGTGCCTGTTGGGAGGCTCCGCTCCACCACGAACGGGACATTGTTTGGCCTTGCTTGAACTTTTCTCCCTTGCAAGCAGCAAGGATGAGCCTCCCTGCCCGGATACATACACACACCTGTTCTCTCTCGCCTCATCCTTGCTGCTTGCATCACTCCTGGTTTTTTCCATATGCCTCTTGTTCTTAGTGCATCCCCCCATTTCCTTTTCCGAAAAGCGCCAACCCCTTTCATTCAACCACGTCTCTATCCTACTCACAGCCTCACCAGTCGAGCATTGGAGGCCCTTCAAAACTCGTTTCGCTGCCAGCCTTTCCTATTTGGCATTTGAGGGAGGGCGCATCAAAGACATATTCCCAACAGGCTCATCTGTCATGCCTGACTTGGATCCATCCATCCCACCCGCTGCCGTCTCTCTGTGTATTGCAGGCTTCACGGACGCCATTCAGGCGTATGCCCTTCATGTGCTCGCCATCACCCCCTCCCACCATCGCCTATCTCACGTCTGAAGAGCGGTCTGCCCCACCCACCCCCCTGTCTCTCTGTGCATTGCAGGCTTCACGGACGCCATTCAGGCGTATGCCCTTCATGTGCTCGCCATCTCACACCGCCGCGTGCCCAGAGAGATACTGGCTGAGGTGGGCAGCGGTGCACGGGGGTGGGGAGCGGTGCACGAGGGTGGGGAACAGCGGTACTTGCTGGAGTGATGGGTTTGGGGTGCTGTCATGAGTAGTTGGTTGTGTTGTGGCACCAGCATCGCTCATTGCTCTCAATCCCCCAGTGCCATTATATCAGCATTGCTGTGCTGTGTTATGCTGTGCCATGCCATCACATGTCTTGCTGTGCCATGTCTTTAATTGCCCTGCCCTGCCCTGCCCTGCCCTACCATGCCATATGCTGCCATCGCTACAATGCCACGCCATGCCGTGTGATGCCATTCCAAATACCCTACCCAACCCCCACGCTTGTGCCAAGCCATGGAGGCTATCAACTTGAACGGACCGGCCTTGTTTTAAGTCGACTCAAAACACGACTCGTACCATGCCGTGTGATGTGATGCCATTCCGGATTCCCTACCCAACCCCCATGCTTGGGCCGAGCCATGCAGGCTATCAACATGAACGGGCCGGCCTTGGACGACTTCATTCAGCGCCGCGTGGAGGCCAGTGGTTGGATGGTGGCACCAGGGAAGACCGGTCAGGTGTGTGGGGGTAAACGGGAGAGGGTTGAATGGGGGTGAATGAAAGTGGCCGGGGGGGTGGAAGAGGGGGGTGGATGAGAAAGTGGGGTCCCCACACTAAACTTTTTTTTAATCGGGTCAAGATCCCACTGCGATACTCCGCGTGCTCTGCACTGTGTGATATGCACAGTGCCCCACCCACCCCACCCCAGCTTCTTCGTCCCCGGCCGCTGCTGCTGCTGCTTCCCGTCGTCTTTTCTGACCTTGCTGCTGCTCGTTAGTCATTGCTCCTTTGCGTCCTGCCAGCCGCATTTGTCTCTGTTCGCCCTGTTGGGGTTTTAACTACTGAATGTGTGCTTCTGCATGCATATGTGTGTGTGTCTGCGCGCGCGTGCATGTATGTGTGCATGCATGTGTGAATGTATCTCTGAATGCTTGTGTTCATGCATGTGTGCATGTGTGCATGGCTGTATGCATGTGTGCATGTGTGCATGTGTGCATGGCTGTATGCATGTGTGCATATGTGCATGTGTGCATGGCTGCATGCATGTGTGCATGCATGTGTGCATGCATGTGTGCATGCATGTGTGCATGCGTATCACTGAGAGCAGGTGGTGGAGCTACCCAGCAACATTGAGGCGCAAGCAGCGTCGCGGGGATTGACAGAGTCCATTCCCTTGGACCACGTGTCTCGCCTCTTCCCTGTCCTTTCGTAAACAATATTATACAATCTTTTAACATGGATTAATGAGGGCAAACGCGTTTAGCAACTAATAGTGTAGAATCAGCAAACGAAAGATGCAACGTAGCAGCATTGTTGTATGTTAGTGTGATCCAAGTTGGTATTATGAAAAGCAATGAGATTGTTCATTGCGTTTGTGCCATTACATGGGGTTTGACCTTAGGAGGGTCTATGTACCCTCGCTCTCTCACCCGTACATATCACACCTGGAGAGCGCATATCTGCATTGCTTGCGCGTATGCCATGTGCAAGGTGATTGTAATGAGTGATAGGGATGTAATTCTCTACAAGCAAGGAGTCCTTCAAAAGGCAATAATTGCTGGTACTGTCATTTTCCAGCTCTGCACCTATGGGTGCCTGTTTTCCTCGAGAAAAGCCGCTATTCTCCTAAACCAAGTCTTAGGGCGTGTTCCTACGGCCTCATATCAGGAAACCTCGTATCAAGAATGCTGTTTTTGCCTGGTAAAACTAGCGAGAGGTTTCGGGTTTAGGGGAATTTCCAGTGTGAGCCTGATACGAGGTTGTCTTGATACGAGGATAGGAACACGCTCTTAGCGCACAAACAGCCGGACGTGGCTCGTCTTACGGTATGAGGTGCCTCAAAAGCTACTGCACCTTTAAGGTCTGCAGACTCTGCCTGCACTGATGGCGGTTCTTGTTTACAGTGTGGGTGTGGGTCAGACACACCCAGCTGGTGGTGGCTCATCTTTTGAGGTGCCTCATAGGCCACTGCATTTTTTTAGTGCTGCACTGCACAGCACCGTAAGAAGGCACCTCTTGTTAGAGTGTGGTTCAGTGTGGGTTATACACACACAGCAGGAGGCGGCTCGTCTTCTGGTATCTGCACCATTGTGCGGAGGGAAGCGGTATCGGGTGGGATTTGAGAACAAAAGCAGGGGGGATGGGATTTGAGTCGACTCAAGGCGCATCTCGAGTGTGGGTCAGTGTGGGTGGGTGTGGGTCATACACGCACGGCTGGAGGCGGCTCGTCTTCTGGTATCTGCATTTGAGTCGACTCAAAAGCATTATTGCACGGAGGGAAGCGGTATCGGGTGGAGGAGAGCAGGGCGGTTGCAGGGGAATGGGAGAAGCGGATATGATGGGGAGAGGGGGGGGGGGGAGGGGGGGGCGGGTTTAGAGATTCTTGGAGAGCAATGGACATGGCATTGACACGCAGGCACTGACACGCCGGCACTCAAATGCAGCATGGCACTGACACGCCGGCACTCAAATGCAGCATGGCACTGACACGCCGGCACTCAAATGCAGCATGGCACTGACACGCCGGCACTCAAATGCAGCATGGCACTGACACGCAGGCTAGTTATGAGGCTCCTCAAAACTAGACATGGCATTGACATGCAGGTGCCTTTGAGAATTCTCAAATGCAGCATGGCACTGATACGCAGCCGCTGGAAGGGATGAACGGCATGATGAGAGGCGGGACAGGAGCGATGCACAAGGGGCAATTGCGATTATCACAACTATAGTATGCCACTCACTCATCAAATGTGAAACTTACAGCTCTGCTCGCTTGCACGTACCTCTCCAAGCTTCCATCTGGTTGCAGCCCACAGGGACCCGCCCCCACCCTCACCACCCCCCACGCCAGCAGCACCACCAGCAGCAAGGGGCAGCGCTGAAGCAGGCTGAGGGAAGCCGGGGGGGGAGGTGGAGAGGGGAGAGGGGCTGCTAGCGCCGAAGGGGGAGAATGGGGAAGGTGATGCGGTTGGGCCGAATGGGGAGGGTGACGGTGCGGGGTGGAAGGGAGAGGAGGTGGTGGTGGTGGTGGTGGGTTGGCCAAAGATCAGCTGTTGCTGCTGCTGCTGTGGTGGTGCGGGTGAGAAGGGAGATGGGGCGCTAGAAAATGGAGATGGGGCATTGGAGAAAGGAGCTGGGGCGCTGGAGAAAGGGGATTTGCCAAAGGAAAACGGCGACGGCTGTTGTTGTTGTTGTTGTTGTTGGGGCGGGGGGAAGGCGGAGGCAGGGGTAGGGCCGAACGGTGATGGGGCTGCTGCTGCTGCTGCTGGTTGTTGCAACACTACCTTCCCAAACAGCATGCCCCCCGCGCCCAGGGGGGCGCCGGGGGCGGATGGAGGCACAGAAAACGCGGGGGGGGGCGCAGGGAAGTCGGCGGGTGGGGGGAAGGGAATGACGGGGGAAGCTGCTGCCCCGCCAGTGGGGGTGGTGAGGGGAGGGTTTTGTCTGACTGGCCCGGTGTAACGGCGCGAGCGGAAGGCGGCATGGATGGCCTCGGCATTGGCGAGCATGGCACGCTCCGATGCCACCTGGGAAGGGCGGGGGGAAAGGGGAAAGAAGAAAGGGGCGGGAAGGTAGAGGAGGTGTGGGAGAAAGGGGGAGGGGCGGAGGGAGGTGGGTGAGGAAGGAAGTGGGAGGAATGCTGGGCAGTGGATTTCAGCTTGATGAGAAGTGTGTTTGTGTGTTTGCGTGGCATGGCACGGCAGGGCAGTATGACTTGGATAGCAGAATGAGGAGGCATGCAACACATGGAACAGCATGGCAGGGTGTGGTGTGGTATGGTGTGGTGTGGTGTGGTGTGGTGTGGTATGCACGGTGCAAGACTGACAATGGAGGGCAGGGGAACGCCCTGAGCAGCCTGTGTGTAAGCGAGCAGACGAGCCTCCTCTGGACTCACATCCGACCCCACGTCACAGGGTAGACTGTCATTGCACGGCAAACCACACACACACACACACACATACGCACACAGAGGAGGGTTGGCGGGTAGGGGGGACAAGGTTGTTTGAGGGGACACGATAGAGCAGGCGAGCCTCCTCTGGACTCACATCCGGCCCACGTTGCAGGGTAGAGTGTGCCATTGCATGCCGTGCAGTGTGCACACACACACACGCACACACATACACACACACACACACTCACACACACACTCACACACACACACACACGCACAAACAAACACACACACACTCACACAAACACACACACTCACACACACACACACACTCACACACACACACACACACGCACACACACACTCACACACACAATCACACACACACACACACACACACAGTCGTGAGGGGGGCCTGGGTAGGGGAGTTGGGGTGGGAGGGGGGTTGAGTCGACAAAAAGAAGCAAACGTGCGCACATCGCCGGGTAGACTGTGCCATTGCATGCCGTGCGGTGCACACACACACACACACACACACACACACACAAGGGGAGAGAGGGGGGAGTGGGGGGGTGTGGGTTACAGTGGAGGGGAGTGGGAAGGGAAGTGATGGTGTTGGGTGGAGTGAGGGGTGGGGGGGAGAGGCTTGGGGATGCTTTAACGCAGTGAAAGGGTGTTTGCATCAAAGAGGCGGTGGGGCGGGCATGGTACATGGGCGGGCATGGGACATGGGCGGGCATGGGACATGGGCGGGCATGGGACATGGGCGGGCATGGGACATGGGCGGGCATGGGACATGGGCGGGCATGGATGTGGGGCAGGATAGTGGAGAGAGGCATGAGTGGCATGAGCGGCATGAGAGGCATGAGCGGCATGAGAGGCATGAGCGGAATGAGAGGCAAGAGCGGCAGGAGAGGCAGGTGGGCGGGCAGCACTCACTACTTCCAGTGCGCGTATACAGAGGGGCGCCACAGCGGGCGCTCGTTCTCCGCATCCTCTGCTATGATCGACTCACAGTCCAGCCGATCCGAGCAGCTGCCGTGAGGACGAGGAGAGGGAGGAGAGGAGTGAAGGAAGGGAGGGGGAAGCGGGCGTGGAGGGGGAAGCGGGCGTGGAGGGGGTTCTGGAGAGGGAATAACGGCGCCACAGCGGGCGCTCATTGAAGCGTATTTTGAGGCGCCTCAAAATACGCCACAGCGGGTGTTCATTCTCCACATCCTCTGCGACGATCGACTCACAGTCCAGCCGATCCGAGCAGCTGCCGTGAGGGCGAGGAGAGGGAGGAGAGGAGGGAGGGGGAAGAGGGGGGAACCAGGGCAGGATAGGATTTAGGGCAATGGAAAATGGGGGCAGGAGGCCACAGCGGGCGCTCGTTCTCCTCACCGCATCCTCCGCAATGATCGACTCACATTCCAGCCGAGCAGCTGCCGTGGGGACGGGGGGAGGGGAGGGGGGGAGGGAGGGGGGGAGGGGAGGGAGGGGGGAGAGAGGGGGGAGTGAGGGGGGAGGGGAGGGACGGGGGAGGGGAGGGAGGGGGAAGCGGGCGTGGAGGGGGAAGGGGGCGTGGAGGGGGGTCTGAATAGGGGATAACGGCGCCACAGCGAGAGCTCTTTTTCCGCACCGCATCCTCCGCAATGATCGACTCACATTCCAGCCGATCCGAGCAGCTGCCGTGGGGGCGGGGATGGGGCAGGGCCAGGCGGGCAGGGAGGGCGGACGGAGGGGCAGAAGGTGCATGGGTAGCAGTAGTGAGGTGTGATGCTGGCCATGCTGCCGTACTTTTGAGATGTCTCAAAACATCTCTTTTATCACGGTGTGATGCTGGCCATGCTGCCATACTTTTGAGACGTCTCAAAACAACACTTTTATCACAGTGTGATGCTGGCCATGCTGCCGTACTTTTGAGACGTCTCAAAACTAACACTTTTATCACGGTGTGATGCTGGCCATGCTGCCGTACTTTTGAGACGTCTCAAAACAACACTTTTATCACGGTGTGATGCTGGCCATGCTGCTGTACTTTTGAGACGTCTCAAAACAACACTTTTATCACGGTGTGATGCTGGCCATGCTGCCGTACTTTTGTTGAGACGTCTCAAAACAACACTTTTATCACGGTGTGATGCTGGCCATGCTGCCGTACTTTTGAGACATCTCAAAACAACACTTTTATCACGGTGTGATGCTGGCCATGCTGCCGTACTTTTGAGACGTCTCAAAACAACACTTTTATCACGGTGTGATGCTGGCCATGCTGCCGTACTTGTGCACAAGCGCACAAGTAGAAGTGCATGCATGCTGCAGGGAGTTTTTGGAGATTTCTCAAAAACATGCTGTGAATAACCGGTGGCATGGGGGCATGGAGCCGGTTCATGGTGGCATGGCATGAAACATGACAGCATGTCAGCATGACAGCATGTCAGCATGACAGCATGTCAGCATGTCAGCATGTCAGCATGTCAGCATGTCAGCATGACAGCATGTCAGCATGTCAGCACAACACATCACTCACACGCTTCTCGGCCAAGCAAACCAAACATCCTCATGCCACCCATCCCATTTCAACCATCCAGGTGCATATTGAATTGAGTCCCATCTCAAAACAAATCACATCTCAGCCACCCTCCTCCACCACCATGCTCCCCCCTCACCCTCCTCGTCCCTCCCTCGCCATACCCCCTCACCTGTGCTCTCGCGGCACAGCCTGCTGCCCCCCGCCCCCTCCTTGTCGTCCCCCACCCCCCCCTCCGCGCCCTCCCCGCCCCCCTCCGCTTCCTCCCCCTCCCCCCTGCCCCCTGCCACCTCCCCCTCCCCATCCGCCCCCCCCGCCCCACTGTCCACTGGGCTCCGCGTAGCAGTTCCCCTGATGGAGGGGGAAAGGGGCGGGGCCCGGGGGAGAGAGGGGGGAGGGCAGGGAGGGGAAGAGGGGAAGGGAAAGAGGGGGAAGGGAAGAGGGGGAGGAGAAGATGGAGAGGGGGAGAGGGGGAGGGGAAGTGAGGAAGGAGAAGATGGAGAGGGGGAGGGGAAGAGGGAAGTGGGGGAGCAAATATGAGTGGGCGACATGCACTGTTCCATGCCATGCCATGCTGTGAACTGGAACAAATCCACACCATCCCATGCTATGCCACCTCACCTCACCTCACCCCACCCCACCCCATCCCACCCCACGCCAGGCATGCATGCGTACGCGTGGTGCCTGCTGCTGCGCGGGAGCGGGGGCCTGGTGCGAAAACCTGCAGCGCGCCCCGAAGCGACAACTGCCACGAGAGGGGCGAGGAGGAGCGAGGGGGGAACGGGAGGCGACAGGGAGGGACGGGGAGGGAGAGAGAGGGAGAGATAGGTGGGTGTGTGCGGGTAAGCAGAGGACGGAGAGCACATGGGAGCAAGCACAGGGAAGCGGAGGAGACAGAAATTGTCGTGGCGCTTACTCACCCCACTTGTCTGCCCCGACCTGCCTACCCGCCCGTTCCTGCCGCGCTGGAAGTCCCTACGCAACGCTACCCCTCCGCGGTTGCTGCGTGTGTGTGTCCCTTGCACTGGTCGATCGTACCTGCTCCATTGCCCAACTGCATCTGTACCCTACCCTGTCTGTGCCCACCGGCCTACCCGCCCGTACCTGCCCCGCTGGAAGTCCCTACACAGAGCTGCCCCTCCGCGGTTGCTGCGTGTGTGTGTCCCTTGCACTGGTCCTACCTGCCGACGTTGTCCAACTGCCTCTCTACCCTGCCTGCCCGTGCCTGCCATCCCTGTCCCCACCTGTCTGCCTGACCCGACCTGCCTACCCGCCCGTACCTGCCCCGCTGGAAGTCCCTACACAGCGCTGCCCCTCCGCGGTTGCTCATGACCCGCGCGCGCTACGTAGTGCCGGTGAAAGGGGGGGGTGACCTGCGAGTGTCGGGTTTCGATTCAGCCGTTTTCCTCTTTCGAGACGGTGACGGTGACGGACGAACGGAGGAGTCTGTTTATATGTGTGTGTGTGACGCAACCAACGGCGTGATTGTTGGCACAGCTGAAACTGACGCGAGTTACTAATTCCAGAGACTAAGCGCCATTGCTGACCCGCTGATCGCAACCGCAGTATCTGCTCAAACAGCGGCTTCGCTTCGATCAAAGTTTCACTCTTCACGAAAAAATCCGTTACACTCGTTCAAAGTTTTGTATAACACTGACCAACTTATTCGTACGCTGTTATGGTTCATCCCAACCTTAATGTTTTTTGGCAGAGTAAATCAGATACTAACAGACCCAGTAAGCCTAGCCAATTATATGTTTCCTGCGCAATTTGCAGAGGAATCTAGAGCAGCCTAGATCACCATATACACTAGTACAACCACCGCATACATCTACATACATACCGTACACGTCCCCTACATCCACACAGCATACCATACTGATTCTAGCTTCTCCCCCCTCTCTCCCTTCTGCACTTTCCCTCACCGAACCAAGCAAAGACCGCACAAGGACAGCAAAAAGAATCTCCAGTTTCCGCTTAGCCCAATTCCTTTTACGGGGGTGTTGGCAGCACGCAGGGAGGCACAACATACAGCACATACAATGAATCGTCAAACTGCACACCACCACTCCTTGCAGCAGGAGCAGCAGAAGCAGGAGCACGTGCAGGAGAATGAGCAGCAGCAGCAGCTGCTACACCACCAGCAGTGGCAGCCGCAGCACCAGGAGCAGCAGCACCAGCAGCAGCAGCAGCAGCATTCTGCCTGGCACCACTATGGCCCACAACCGCAGCACCATAACCGCCACGAGCCTCCCCTCCCACGGGGGACGTTCGGTCCACCATGCCTCCATACACAAGCACAGCCGTACCCCCTGCCACGGCACATGCCCCATGGTACGCCCTTGCTGCTGGCGCTACTCCCAGTGCACGCACCTGGTGCCAGTATGGGTGCCGCTTTGGGGCCTGCTTCAAGGCTGGTTGCGGTGCCAGCAGGGAGAGTGGGGGTACAGGTGGGTTGCTCGTGGCTCGCGCTGCTGCAGCTGCTGCTGCTGCTGCCGGTGGTGCTGCTGGTGCTTGTAGTTGTGCTGCTGGTGCGGCTGCTGCTGCTGGTGGTGGTGGTGCTGCTGCTGCTGCTGCTGCTTGTGCTGCGGGTGCTGGTTGTGCTATGGTGGGAGGTACAGCTGGAGCTACAGGTAGTATTCTATCGGTTGGCACGCGGAGGCAAGGAACTGCAGCAGGAAGTATGTGTTGGTCCACCAGAGGACCCCCCTCCTGCTGCTGCTGCTGCTGCTGCTGCTGCTGCTGCTGCTGCTGCTGCTGCTGCTGCTGCTGCTGCTGCTGCTGCTGCTGCTGCTGCTGCTGCTGCACCACCTGTGCATCCTGTGCCTCCTCTGCTGCTCCACGCACTCCATCAGTCTGCCCTGCATCAGACACCACCTTCAGCTTCCACTCACAACCCCCCTCTGCCCCTGTTGGAACTACCTGAATCTCCTTGCCTCCTCCTCTCTCAACTCCTCTTCCTCCTGCTCTTCCTCTTTCTCCTCCTCTCTCTCCTCTCTCTCCTTTCTCTCCTCTCTCTCCTCTCTCTCCTTTCTCTCCTCTCTCTCCTCTCTCTCCTCTCTCTCCTCTCTCTCCTCTCTCTCCTCCTGTGCCTCCCCTCTCCGCATCTGACCCTCCTGCTACTCGCCCCCCTCGTGCATGCCCGCCATTACTCTCACCATCCTCACCTCCTCGGTCACCGATACAGCCGCCCACCTCCTGTGCTGGCCCTCCCCCACTCCTCACACCCCCACCACCACGTAACGCACACTCTCTCAAACCCTCCACATAATAATCCCCCCCCAACCCTCGACCCCCCAACCCTCGACCCTCCAACCCTCGACCCTCCGACCCTTCATGCTCCAACTCTCCTCCTCCCCTCAGCTCCGCACCCACCAACCGGCCGTTCACCCTTCTCCCCTCCCCCTCTACCAACCCCACTGCTTGCCTCCCACTCACAGCCCCACACACACCACCACGCACACCACCACACACACCACTACACACCGCACCACCACGCCTACCACCGCACCAGCCCAGGGCCCGCACTCTCCCCCGCAAATCCAAAACCCAAAGGTCATTCCGCCGGTCCCTATTCTCCCCCTCGCCCCCAAACAGCACCACCCGTCCGTCCACCAACCGTGTTGCAGAATGCCCGGCCCTCGGCCCAGGCCCTACCAAACCCTTCCCTTCCATCCCCTCCATTCCCCCTCTCAATCCTTCTGTTCCTTCCGTCCCTTCAGTCCCTTCAAGCCCACCCACACGGCCATCCCCAAAAGAGTCCCCTTTATAGTCTTCCTCGCTGTCTAAAAGAGTCCACCTAGCAACAGTGTCCCCTTGTAACTGCATGATCCACACGTCACTAAGCACCTCCATGCCTGCCCCCCGGCCACCTATCAGCACCGCCGTCCCATCACAAACCCCTGTCAGGGAATGGCCTGATCGCGCACACGGCAACTCGTGCCTCCCTCTGCTGCTCCTGTTCCTGCTCCCGCTGCTGCTGCTGCTGCTGCTGTTGCTGCTTCTGTTCCTGTTCCTGGTGCTCGTGTCGCTGCCACTGGTGGTACTGGCAGCCTCAGCACCCATGCCACCTCTGCAACCACCAGCATCAGCATCACCACCAGCAGCAACAGCCGACCCATCACCACCACCGTCTCTCGCTTCTGCTCCAGTTGTTCCTATATCCCCCCCAGCAGCCTCCACCCGACCTCCCCCTACCCTCCCTACCTCACCCTCTGCTGCCCCACCGTCTCCCCGCTCCTCTCCACCCACCATCTCCAGCTGTCGCCACGTGATTGGCTCTTCCGCCAGGTCTAGCAGCCACGCATCGGAGAGTCTACGGCCAGCAGAGTCTATACCGCCGAACACCACCACTCGCTGGCCCCCCATGTGCGTCCCTGCGTGCGCTCCCCTGGCCGGAGGGGAAACCGCGGGATGCAGCTGCTGCCACTGCCAGTCATTCTGCTGTTTCACCGAAACTGCAGCAGCAGGGTTGCTACCACCGTGACTGCCATTAGCAGGTGTGGCAGCAGCAGCGGCAGCAGCACCAGCACCCCTGGGAGCAGCAGGAGTGAAGCCAGGGGGGACAACATGGGCAGCCTCCCGTAACTTTGGGCCAAAGAGCCACGTGTCATCGAGCCGTTGGCCGAGGTCGTTGATCCCTCCAAACATCACCACCATGCCTCCGTCCACCCCTGTCATACTGGGCTGAAACCTTCCCCCTGGTCCGCTCTCTTCCTTAGTCTTGAGCCTCCCCGCTCGTGCCCCTCGCGCCCGCTCTGCGCCCCCAGCGGAGCCCCGCGCGCTTGCTGTCTCACCACCGCCCGCCCGCCCAGCTTCGACCGCCTCCGCAGCCTGGCACGCGGGGCCACTCAGCGGCTGCCACGTCACCCCAGGACTGGAAAACGGGACGGGGGGAGGGCGCGAGGCGGGAGGTGGTGGATCGGATGGGGAGAGAAGGGAGGTGCGGGGAGGCTGAGGGTGACGAAGAGGGGGAGGGAGGGGGGGAGGGAGAGGGAAGGGGGACTGGAGGAGGGGGTGGAGCAGCCACGTGTCGGAGAGGTGTTGACCTCCGCTGCAACCCCCACCGAACATCACAACAGGTGCTTCCGCTGCTGCCGCCGCCGCTGCCGCGGCCGCTGCTGCTGTTGCTTCTGCTGTTGCTGTTGCTGCTGCTGATGCTGGTGGTGGTGGTGGTGGCTCTATCCCGCGTACCGCACTACCTGCATCAACCGAACCCCATCCCACTTGCGCCATGCCGTGCGACGCCCTTCCTACCGGCCGTTTCTCGCCCCTCTCTTCCACGCCGCGCCACGCCAGGCCGTCAAGTGCACTGACGGACCGGTACAGGGAGTACCATCTGCCGGCCAGCACCGCTTGCAGTGTCGGCTGCGCCGTCTGCTCCTGAGGGTCCGGCTGAGGCTGCTCCTGCTGCGGCGGCGGCGGCGGCGACGGCGACGGCGACAAAGGCGGCGGGGGAGACACGAAGGGGGTCCGTTGAAGGGGGAAGACAGCGGAAGCAGCGCCGCGCGCAGCCTGCTTCCCCCAATCGCGTTCGCTCACAGATTCCCACACGCCGTCCGCGAGAGCTATTTCAAGAAACTGACGACACGTGGCAGCCAACGAGAGGATGGCTGCGGGAGGAAGCAGCAGCAACACGTAGTGCCACACCTCCTCGGGTAACAAACCCGCTGAGCAGCTTCCTCTGTTGTAACCACGGCTGCTGCTGGCTATCGCATATTGGGAGTCGTTCCTACAGCTACTACCAGATTGCCCTCTGGTGCTATCGAGTATATTTGTAGCAAATATTACCTCCTCGTGGTTAGCGACGGAGTTAATTGGTTCACCTCGGCAACAATCTCCTGTTACACAGCACTGTAATTTTGCAGGGCCTACAAGACGATCCTCATCCGCATCTTCGCCCTCATCCTCCCGACGCTTACGTTTATCCATGGAGGCCGTATCGGCAGCGTGTTGTCCCACCAGTCGATTTCTGTAATCCTCAACTAACTCCTGAACTTCGTTTTCGAACATTATGCAACAGGACGGGAGAGCGGGAGAAACCTGGGTTTTTCGGGTGGATAGGAGATGGGATAAGGGAAGAACACGAGAGAAACAGCGACCTGGAAAGTTGGAAACAGAGAAACAAGCGGGGGACGAACGAGGGGTGGAATGGAAAGGAAAGAGAAGGGACGTACTGTAGCGGTAGCTGGAAATCGCAATTTGTTATCGCAAATTGGGATTGTGGTGACCTCGATTCGCGAATCGCAAGAGTACACCGTGGAACAACACAGCAAAGGGAAATACCTTTTTTTCCCGGCTATTGGGAGAGAAAAAGCCTCTCGCGGATGATTGGAAAAGGTCAGGGGGAAAAAGGTGAAACTCGGTAGTGGCAGCGTCTTTTTTATCACAGAATCTCATTGCGAAACTCTGTTTTCGCAAAGAGCAATATCACGACTTTCCACAATTGTTTAATCTACACAAGTCTTGTGCCTGTAAACTTATGCTAAAATCAGTCCATCGCTACTCTCCTGGTCTAGTGAAAGCTTACCCCAGTTATAATGCTACACAACTCAAAAGTTACGATGCCTAACAGGTGCATGCCTGGCAACTCGTCATGCTGACAATTCGGAGACTTCAGGCCTCGCATATCAGTTGCTGGAAGAAATTAATCGCCCACTTCGATCTCCTCCCTAATCCTTGAAACAGAATGGGTGGAAGGGGCCATGGATTGAACCAAACAACACACTAAGAAAGAAGAAAGAAAAAGGGGCAAACAGCTAGGTGATGTTGAGTGAGCAATACCAGTCTATACTATGCTGCAGTGTCTCCTATTCTCCCTACGCAGCTAGACTAGACAACAGACTCAAGAGTGGATGCTGAGTGTCGTCTAGGGATGTCCATCTTGCTCACACTACTATTGCTGGCCTTGCTCGCGCCGCTGCTGCCTCCTCTTCCTGCACCACTCCCCTTGAGCCCAACTCCCCCTCTTCCAACCCCCACACCACCCACCCCTCCCACTCCCACTCCCACTCCCACTCCCACCCCAACCCCACCCACCGCCCATACTCCCCCCACTCCTCCCACCCCCCCTGTGCTGCTTCCAAGCAGCAAGTTAAACCACCCGCTGTTGCTGCCTGCGCCCAGGCCCAGCCCAGCGAGTCCATCCGCGGAGTCATCTAAAAAAAGATCGTCAGGGACTCGGAACGCCGCGTGGATACAGATTACAGCCACTCCTATCACCGTTCCCGACATGACCGCCGATCCGAGGGGGCTCAGGCCGAAGACTATTAACGCGGATAACAGGCACATGATTATTAGCTTCTCCCGCTCGCTGAACGACCGCCCGGCTACGGTGATTGGTCCAGGGCGGAACAGGAAGGTGTAGCCCCAAGCCGCGGCGAGTATCGCAAGCCAGAGGATCGCGAACGGGTTGTGCAAAACGGAGATGATTATAGCGAGGAAGAGGACGACGAGGTAATTCGCGTGGAAGTAACGGTTGTTCTTGCGGATGCGGCTCGCGGCGTCGGAGAGGCTCTCGGGGCGCGCGAAGGCGGAGCGATCGACGAGCTCCAGCCATGGCCGCTGCTGCGCTGCTGCTTGCCGCATCGCGTCGCGGAGGCGGGAGACGAGGAGAAGCGCGATTGCGACGTTGGGGTTGGAGGAGAGGGAGGAGGAGGAGGACGATGTGGGGAGCGAGGAGGAGCCATGTATGGAGGTGGACGATGAATCCCGAGAGATTGTCGAGGAGGTGAAGGGAAGAAGTGGTTCCTTGGACTTGCCCATATCGGAAACTCTAAACCGGCTGAAACTATGTTGCTGTTATGGAATCCAAACTTGTGGAGACCTGGGCGTAGATATAATCCGAACAATCCCACCCGAATGCGACAGGTGGAGACAGATTATGAAGAACGAGACGTGGATTTCAGAAGGGTTGACCGGGAAACCTTGCGTCCTCACAAACCACCACACAATCTATACCACATCCACTTGGCAGCAAAGGAGGAGCGCGTAAAACGGGGAGATCCCCCCGCTACAGCTAAGGTGCATCGGACGGAGATCGCGGGAACGCACGCCTGGAAAGCGAGCGGAACGCGGCCAGCTAAACGACACGCTAATCTACCTGCGCTGTTGCCGCAACCTCGGTGCTCTACCGGACCGGATCTATGCTGCTGCTGCTACTCTCAGAGATGGCATGGCACATTCCCGATCGCAACGACCAGTCGGAGCTGGTGCATAAGCACTGATCTTGAGGCTGCTCAAGTTGCAGGAAAAATAATCAAAGTAGATTTGTCCTTTCTACTGTACTCCATCCATCCACTACTCGCTGGCTTGTTGTGAGGTGAGGGAATGCGGGGCGAGGTCTCGCTCGCGGTGAGGCGAGCCGAAGGCGAGGCGAGGCCACTGACAGCGACAGCAGAACCCTGAGGGCCAATCACAGCCATTCGCGCCAGCAGCAGCTTCACATATCATGTTTCACAATGTTAATTATAGCTGACAGACATGTAGTCATTCTAAAATTCATATGGAAAGTGCTCTCAAACTATTGTAGCTTTCCTGTGGTTGTGGTCATGCGCTTCAAACAGGTCAGATACCGATCAACACACATCTCACCTACCTTCTGATCATCCACAATGAGCTCCAGTTGTTCTAAGGGAAGGGGGGACGGCTCTGATATGAGCCAAAAGAGAATTGGTTTATGGACTCTCTAATGGGAAATGATCTTGCAAGGGGGCACTCCTCGAAAAAAGGCCAGCTAAAGGATACTCGCGTGCTTTTAGCTGCGATCAGAAGTTGATCGTGGCCTAGGATCTACTCAGGAAGGTTCGCACGCAGAGAAGTGATGTTGGTGGGCCCTTGACCTCAATAGCAGAGTGAATGTAAAATGCTTTGAGATTATTTAAAACATGCAAATACAGCAAATATAAATATGAGTACAGGGGAGATGAAACGACCTAGCTAGCGATGTACTCTAAGGGGTACATTCCCTTATTCAAATACATTCCCAACCGTGCGGCGCGAACAGTTACGAAACTGTTCCCGCCGAAACCATCCTGCCTGCAGCTGCCTGATGCTGTCTGCTCCGATGGTCCAGATGCGTCCCAACTGTCTGACGCTTCGAGTCGATTCCAACCGTCTGACGCTTCGCGTTCATTCGCGATACTGCGTGCTTCTCTTTGCTGCGGTGAGGAGTGCACAGTAATATTCAAGTATTACTATTCGTAACACCCCCCTTCACTCCTGGCCGTAGCTCGACTTGACCTGCTTGACCACGCCGCTGAGTTCGGAGCAGTGCTGATACTGCTGGCGTGGCAGTCGCTTCGTGAGGAAGTCTGCTGCCATGTCACCGGTCGGGCAGTAGGTCAAGTTGACCTTGCCCTTGTCCACCTCATCCTTCACGAAGAAGTACCGCAGCGCAATGTGCTTGGTGCGGTTGACGAAACCAGGTTTGTTCGCGATGCGAATCGCGCTCTGGTTGTCGCAGTGAAGGCGAAATGTGGGCGAAGCTGGAATTTTCGCCTCTTGCAGGAGTTCCTGCAAGTAGAGGCCTTCGCGAACTGTTGCGGTTGCTGCGATGAATTCCGCTTCGGCTGACGACAGCGCAACCAGCTCCTGCTTCTGCGAGTTCCAGGAGATTGGTCCCGTTGGCTCGAGTCGGAACAGGAAGCCAGTCCTGGACCATCGATTATCGGGTTCTGCTGCGTGATCGGCGTCCAAATAGCCGATGAGGTTAAAGGATGGAGTTGGTGCAGTTGAGTAGCACAGCCCAATCTTGGGCGTTGAAACGAAGAACTGAAGGGCGCGCTGCAGATCCAGAAGATTCTCAGCCGTTGGTTTGCGTGAGTACTGCGCCAGCTGACTGGCGATGTACGAGAGGTCTGGTCTGCAGGTGACAGAGGTGAAGAGGAGGCATCCCAACTGTTGCTGGTAAGTCTGAATCCCAGCAGGGGATAGGGGTTTGTTGTCGGGTTTGTGGTTCGGTCCGGGAGTTCGGTAGGGAGTTGAGAGAGGTGCAGGTGAAATGTTGAACCGCTTCCCTAACTCCTCTGCGTACTTAGCCGCTAAGAGATGAATGGCCTCAGGCGCGTAGGAGATGTTGAGGCCTAGAAACTGCTTCACTTCGTAGTTGCACGTGATGTCGACGCGCCCCGCCAAGGCCTTCTCGAACTGCTCGAGAAGCTCGTTGTTTGAGCCTGTGTAAAGCAGGTCGTCGACGTACACCGTGAGGAGAATGTATTCCCCGCGGAATTCGCGGCGATACATCCCTGGATCGTGTGGCATCTGCTTGAATCCGATTTCAAGCAGGATGTTGTGCAGGTACTGCTGCCACAGCCTCGGAGCCTGTTTGTTCCCGTAGAGTGACTTGCGCAGTTGGCACACGCGCGAGTCCCCTTCGCCGTAGGTGTGCGGCTGCTCCACGTAGATCACGGCGTCCACTAACGCGTACAGGAACGCGTTCTTCACGTCAATCTGGCGGAGTGGTAGGTGCCTTGCAGCTGCAATGGCGAGCAGGATTCGAACGGAGGTATGGCGGCTAACTGGGTCGAAGTCGATGCCATGCCTCTGATCGTAGCCGCGAACCACCCAACGTGCCTTGAAGCGCTCGATCGTTCCGTCCGCTGCGGTTTTCACGCAGAAGACCCACTTCCCCGAGAGGATTCTTGCGCCTTTGATCGCCGCGCGGTCGACTAGCATCCAGGTGTCTCGTGACTCCAGCGCCTTGATCTCTGCGTCCATTGCTTCGTGCCATTCCTTGCTGTGTGGTCCAGAAAGAGCTTCGCGCGGATTTCGGGGCTCGATGACACGTGGCGCCTTCGAAGTTGCGGTGTGAAGCCCGAGCAGCTGCAGTCCTGAGATAGTGCTGTCGTGGCGACGTTGCGGGATGACTTCCTGTACGTCGTCGTCATCGCTTTCTGGTTCAGGAGGCGCTGGTGGTGCTGTGCCTCTGCCGCTTCCGCCTGTTCCGCTTCCGCCTGCTGCGCCCATTCCTCCTCCCGAGGAATCATCGTCGTCGTCGTCGTCGCTGCTACGTCGTTCTTCCCACACGAACTCGCCCCTCGTGTCCTGCTCCAAGATTGCTGCAGCGGCTTCGTCTTCGGGCGTTGCGTAGCTGTGCCCATCGTTCGTGTAGACGCGGTGTGAAGAAATGAGGAATGAATTGACTAAGGGAAAGTTGGGTACAAAAGCAAACCCTAGAAAACTGTACCCCATATGTGCTACCCCACTATAGCCTACAGTAGCTATCTCATATAAATCTGACACACCCCCATAGGCAAAGTGGGGGAGAACAAGGGGTCACAAGACCAGTCAAGCAAAGCAAAGCAAGCTCAGGGTGGATCACAAAGTCACCACACATTCCGCGCACAAGTTCAAGGCCACAAGGCCAGTTCACATGCAGGATTACATATATATATAAGGCTAGACAAGCAAGAGCAGGTGTATATATATATATGCAACAGTACAAACAAGGTCAAGGGGTGAGCAAGTGAGGCAAGGTAGGCACAAGACCCAGCTGAGTACAGAAGCGCTGATGATCACAAGGCGCAAGTGCCTTGGTGTTGGCCTCAGAGGCCACGTACGCAAGCCGCAGCTGACCACGCTGCTGTAGCTCACGAGCAAGGAAGTAGCGGAGAGCAATGTGCTTCGTTCTGTGCTCCAGTCTCTGCTCTCGACACAAGGCCAGCATGGCCTTGTTGTCTACGTACAGCACTGGAGGAGAACGAGGCGGCTCTCCGAGGTCAGTGAGCAGGTAGGTGAGCCAGCGAAGCTCTTGTGCAGCCATGGCCCCGGCGTAGATCTCAGCCTCACAACTGGAGCCGAGAACAGAAGACGAGCGGGTAGCCCGCCACGAAACAGAGCCGGAACCAAGGCTGAAGGTGTAACCCTGTGACGACCGCTGCGTAGCCTGGTCGTCAGCCCAAGAAGCGTCTGCGTGCCCAGTGAGGACCACTGGACTCTGCCCTCCAAGCACAAGCCCCATGCCCGACGTACTGCACAAGTAGCGCAACACCCTCTTCGCTGCAGCCATGTGCTCCGGTCTGTGTCTCCCAGGAGCAACATAGCGTGCAAGAATGCTAAGAGGGTATGCAAGGTCAGGTCGTGTGCAGGTCATCAGGTACATGAGGCAGCCAACAAGCTCTGGGTACGGGCCACTCGACTCTACGGACTCATCCGAGGGCAGAGCTGAGAGCGAGTGGCGAGTAGGCAGAGGAGTGGCCTGAGGCGAGGAGTACGTGAAGCCGAAGCGCTGAAGGACCTGCTGCACCATGTGTGACTGAGTCAGGGTAATGGTGCGGCGTGCTCTGTCCCGGGTGATCTGCAAGCCAAGGTAGCTGCGCAGTTCACCCAGGTCTGTGCACGTGTGTCTCTTCTGCAGCTCGGACTTCACGTGGGCGAGTCCAGCAGTGTCAGCAGTGGCGAAGACCAAGTCGTCGACGTACACGAGGATGTAGAACGGCGGCAAAGAAGTGTCGGTGCGCAGAAACAGCGACGGGTCGGCAGTAGAGGGAGCAAACCCAAGAGCCGCAAGTGTAGTCCTCAGTGTGTCGTGCCACTCACGCGGTGCCTGGCGGAGACCGTAGACTGGCCGTCGGAGGCTCCACTGGGTGCCAGGAGGAAAAGACCCAGTGAAGCCAGGTGGGCGACGCAGCCAGATCTCCTCGTGCAGGCTGCCCTGCAAGAAAGCAGTGCTGAAGTCAAGAGAGTGCAGCTCGTAGTCGCGGTGAGCAGCTATGTGCAGCAGTACCCGAAGAGTGGTCATCTTCGGGGTGGGAGAGAAGGTCTGA